GAGAGAGAGAGAGAGAGAGAGAGAGAGAGAGAGAGAGAGAGAGAGTCTGAGGCTATTCCGTTGAGGCAGTTCCGGATTGTTGAAGAGAGAGAGAGAGAGAAAGAGACTCTGAGGCTATTCCGTTGAGGCAGTTCCGGATTGTTGATTGTTGGTGTTTTGGATGCACCATGTATTCAATGAATCAGACTATGATAACAAATGAGTGGGGAGGCATGCAGATGGGAGAGAAGCGGAGATGTTGTGCATAACCTGTGTATACAGTTCTCCTTGGTGTGTGAATCACCAGTTGTTTCTATTGCTCGGCTCCTGTGAGCGGTTTGAGTTGTCCGCCAGGTACATGTATAGGTTGTATTGGGCTGGACGGCATCAACGTACGTAGGTTCGTAGTAGTAACTGCCTCTGCAGGGCGAGCTGAATATCCCACCAAATGAGAGCAGAAGCCGAACCCAAACACACACAAATGGCCTAAATGGTAGTGAATGCATGATTCTGTATTTGCATAAAAAAGAGAGAGAATCAATGACACTGTATGCTGAGGAAGCTGTGGCTAAGATGCACACACAGTACTCACTCACATTTTGCCCTTCACCAACTGTAGGGAAGAGTCCATGGTCGTTCAGCTTGTACCCCTTCTTCTTTGCCAATTCTCTTATCCTGCAAAAGCAACAAGCACACACTTCCCAAAAAATCAAACACTTCACCATGAGGCATTACATCTCACAGCATACATAAAATTTATGTGGCGTCAGGCAAGCGCACACAAAGTGTCTGTGGCGTCGGACACAGTGCTCATGCGCAACCTTTCGCACCAAACTGCAAACAAACGTGGTCATTGATGGACTCCCCATGTACCGTTGACAGAGAACCTGGTCATTCAGCACATCTCGTCATTGATTGGGTTGTGCAATGGAGGATCAGGACACTCAACAGCCATCTCAGTAACTCAGCGTGTTTCACTTTTTTCCCTTTTGCACTGTGCAAGATTTCCCAGTATGGTGCACGGAACTGAGGTTGAACCAGCACAGAACTATCCCTGCATACCGACTTCACCTGAATAGAATCCCTTGTCATTATTGCTGCATCTGGACTGAAATTTGCACCAAATACAGGTATAATGAGTGGGTGTTCTATTCGGATGAAGACGGGTAGGGTCGTTGCTTTCAGCCAAGACAAAAATTAGAGGGTCAAAACTCGGTCCTACAGTCTCCAAAAAGTCCTTAAAGAGGTGAGGTGAGGCCTGAGGTTTAGGGTCCGTGGCCGGTTGACATATGGAAAGACTCTATGGCTCGAACTATAGGTTACATTATTCAGGAGCTACTACCCGATTGACAAACTGGAAGTTCAAACTCGACTTCGGGCTGGGCCCGAAGACGGCCGACGTTGATAAACCTCATCGGCGGCCATCGTTTCGTTTCGGCCGTCTAAAAGATCGAGGCCCACCCGAGGCCGACATGGGAAAAGGTAGTGGTGCTTTAACCAGGACCAGTACATCCAATGTCTTTTGTACCAGGCAGATTCCCACTGTGTGCCAAGCTTTGTCGAAACCCCAACGCGGCATTTTGTTTTAGTTTTGGCTGGCGCCGCCAGCCATTTTGGTCCGGTTGCCCCCAAGCCTCCAATATTTTCGGAGAGGCTCAATCGTGATTCTCAAGTTGGCTGGGGCCATCTACCGGTGGTGTAACCTAGATACCATGTTGAAGTTGGCCAGTAGTTTCTATGAACTTTCATCGAGTCTGATTCGATTACCTCATTGAGGCTGCTTAGCAAGTTCATCAGGACCTGGTCAGAACCTGCCTTGACCGCAGTTAGCGATTTCATCGAACTTGATTGACTCTCACATTGAGGTTGGTTACAAACTTCATCAAACTTACGTACATCAAAGTCGGGTAGGAACCATCACTGAATCTTCGACGAAGTAACGATGCAATAGATATGCGAGTGGGCTCTAGCTACTTCGGTACCATTTTGGTAAGGAGTATACTTTGCCTTCACCCTAACAAAACTAATGTGAAGAGACCAACTATGTTTCCACAATTTTAGGGAAGTAATCAGCCTCCTTGAGATCGGAAACAGGGACACGGTAGTCAAACCCCCCCAAAGGCCAACTAGGATTCTGCAATTTTCGGGGAGCGATTGGCCTCGCTGAAATTGGAAACAGGCACGTGGTATTCAACACCCTCCCCCTCCCCCCGGCCACCCCCTCAACAAGAAGAGAAGGATTCGGCATCAGGATGTGCAGAATTGATGAGCAGGCAAGCAGCTCAGAAGTCCATGGGCAACTTCGAATCTGATGTGTAATGTGTGAAAGAAGCCAGCCTTGCTTTCATTGATATTGATCGCCTTTCTGTGTTTGATGGTTCTTTCAGCCCGTGACTGCTCAACAACAATGACAACAAGGGAGAAAGAAAGCAGACAGAAGAAGAAGCTGGAGTAGGAGTAGGAGGAGGAGGAGGAGGAAAACCGCAAAAAGCACACAGTTCAATCATGTTCGATTAAGGACGCGGTGCAGCATTTAACCTGCGATTGAAGATGTCATTTCCTGTGAAATGGAGGAGACCAAACGGGTGAGCACGGATTGGATAGACCTGGATTTTCGTTCACAAAAAGAACAATGTCAAGTACACAGATGCATTTAGTGCCTTCTTCAACTTTGTGAGAATCGACCACCACTGCTGAGTATTCAGAACCAGTGTGAACCAGAACCATTGATCGCTTCCTCTTATTAATCTACGACAACTAGATGCCGAGTGGATGTCTGATACTGGTCTTGAACCACCGGTACATGGCCCCAGGCAACTACGTGGATATTCAGGCCTGCCTTCACTTAGGGTGCGCAGGAGGCTTGCTGGGGGCCACAGACCAGAACAGTTGTACGTCTGATATGGGCTCCGCGAGACTCATTCCTCGCATTCCATCCCCTTAGCTTCGAAAGTCCGCTGAGATGCTTCTACGCAGGTGCCTTCCCTTTCAGTCTTCGTTCGTACTCAGCCACGATCTGAGTTGATCAAGTAATAAAAATCTGAATTTCGAATAAGAACAAAAAAAAAAGAAATCAAAGACGACTGTTGAGATAGATATATATATACGATATATTATTATATACAAAAGTTCACAGAACTGTACTCGTCACTTTCTCAGCACAGTACTCAGAAGCTTTCGGTACTGTTTGATATGAAATTAAAAATGTCTCTCCTTTTTTTTTTAAGGGGGAAGGTGTAATTGAAACAGTTTTCACCTTTGGCAGTAGCCGATGCAGATCCCAGGGGTCGATCCCTTGACCTCAGCTTACCTGTGTACAGTATCTGCACA